CCAGCCAGCTGGCTGGGGAGTTCTGGGAGTTGAAGGCCACACATCTTAAAGTTGCCAAGGTTGAGAAACACTGGAATAGATGGATAGATAGAAACTTGTTCTCCGCAACTCGGCTTTAAAAGAAAGCTTACCTGCCAATAATATTCAGAAACTTGGGCTTTTCAGATCTCCTTTCCCAGAGCAGAAAACTCATGCACATGTCCACGACGGGTATTTAACAATGCAAGGAAAACTACAGGGCTGGGCAGCATCTATTTCTCAAAAAGCGGTTAACGGGCAGGGACCCCACACTCCCTTCTTCCCCAAGCCAGGGCGGTAAGGTTTAGTGCGTTGTGGGAACAGAGCCAACAATGGTTGAGCGAACCCAAACCCTGCTTCAATCAACCCCAACGAACCAAACTACGGTTCAGCGAGCGCCTGGCCGAGTCAGCAAGCTGTAATTCAGGTTAAGTCCAGCCAGATGCTGGGAACTGAACTGAATCAGCTGAAGCCGGCTGTAACTGCTAAGCACAGAGAGGCCAGGTTTAATCTCCAGGCGTAAGTTAACTCAAACAGCAGGGCCAGACTGCGATCTGGTTAGAGACACCCCGGCACCGATCCACTCCCTTGGGCACCACCCATCACGACCTCTTACGCACTTGAGTGTTTTTATGCTATCCCAGCGACTCCAAAAAGTGAAAATGCATCGCCAGAAACAGAATGCACGGCAAGATAGACACGGGTGGACAGATGGGACTTCCTTCTCCCCCCGGCAGCCTGAAGAGGATTCTTGCCAAGTATCCTCTTCCAAGAAGGGCTTTTTCCTGAACTTGAGATCTTCTTCGCACGCTCACCTTCATGCCGCTGTGGCTTTGCAATTTCGGCAGCTTCCCTTCTTGACGTAACTACGGAACGGAAAGAGAGGGGAGAGGAAGATGAGAGTCGTTTTATTCCCATTTTCCGTACAACGCCGCGCCAACGGAGCTGGGGAGAGGCCGGGAACGCCCCCCGGGGGAGCCACTCACTCGGTTTTCCTCCTCGAAAAGCTTCTTGTTTTCCGGAGAGGCGTAAACAGCCCTGTTTTTGAAGAGGAGATGGTTGCGGCCAAAGGATCGGTGGACGGAGACGGTCTCGCCGCGGTTCCCCACGTCTGCAAAACGAGACACGGGTTTGGCAGGGCTTCGGGCGGGCCTCGCCCCGGGTGCAAAGAGCGGCTTCGGCCGGGCTCGGCCTCTACCCGGGCACGGAGTCTGGCACGGGAGCATCTTGTACCTTCCACCGGCTCGGTGAGGATGAGCTCCAGGGGCTCTTTGGGGCTGTGCTTGAGGTCCTCGACCAGGCGGTAAACGCGGTAACGGGGGTGCTTGATCCGCG